GAACCCATGAACCGTGAGATCATGACCTGAGCCGAAGTCAGACGCTTCACTGACTGAGCCACCCAGGCACCCCTCCTCATATCTGTATTTTTTAAAGCCCCATCCGCAACTTTGGTGATTCTGAAGTGTAGCCAGGGTTGAGGCTGTTGAATTTTGTTGTTCTCTGTACTTTGGTTTTCTTGGCTGCATCTTTCCTGCGTTGTACTTGAACACAGCAGTCATTTGTCAGCCTTGTGCTGGTGTGCCTGTCCTTGTGTGTGCCTTCTAACTACCATGGGTCCTTATCAAGTTCGGACAGTTGTTTATGGGTCATTCAAGAGCAGCCAGAGTTTCAGCCCTCTCTGAAAAGCATTTTCTGGCCATAAAAGTGACACATTCCTTCCGGTTTCAGCAAATGAGAACTAGTTTAGCATTTAATGTTGTTCTTTGCCTTGCTGATTAGTCTGAACAGAACCCCCGTGACTTCCCATCAAATGATATAGGCACTTGCTGAAGGCTTTCCTTTCCCCAGCATTGTTCTCAGCCCTGAAGGGGACAGCAGCTAAGAGTATAGCATGGAGCCAGGAGCTGGCGTGCTCGTGGACGAGACACGTGTAAAACAGAGGATGGGCATACTTTGGTCTGGACGGTCGAGCGCTGCAGGACATTGAGGGAGAAAAGAGACCTCTGTGAGATAGCACCAGAGGAAAGACGCTCTAGAAATAGAATCCTGGCGAGCCTTGAAAGGTGTATGGTCAGGGTTCAGGTGGTGAAGGTCGCTGAAATTCCAGGCCTGTAGAATAGTCTAGTAAAGAAGGGCACAGAGGTGGGAGTGATTACATCACACGAGCACTGTGAACACCTAGAGGGTAGGAATAGTTGAGCAGTAGAACTCCCACAGGCAAGATGAAGCCACCCGTTCATTACAAAGGACCCTCACATGGCCACCTGAGGGCTTGGCCCTGCACGGGAGAAGTTCTCCGAAGCCTTTGTCTACACATCTGAGCTCTGGTGAGAAGGAGCGATGGCCTCTGGTGGGCGGACTGTCCACAAAAGCCGGCATGGGCAGCGTGGATTTTCTCCATTGTTAGGAATGTCCTGTATCTTCCGGAGGAAAGTGGTTATGCAGGTGTATGCATGTACCGAAACTCGTCAGACTACATGGTGGTGCATTTTCTTCTATTGAAATTATACCTCACGTTACAAATATTTTTTGAAAGATGTGGTTAAAAAGAAGAAAGAAATCTATGGATCCAAAAACTTAAAAACCAGAGTAGCCAGTGGAAATTTATGACAAAGATTTGAATTCAGATACCTTACAAAAGTTTTTTGAGAGACCATCAGAGAAATTTGAATACTGAGCAAATATGCAATAATCTTTTTTAAAAACATTTTTTAATGTTTATTTATTTTTGAGAGAGAGAGTGAGAGTGAGGGAGGGGCAGAGAGAGAGGGAGACACAGAATCCAAAGCAGGCTCCAGGCCCTGAGCTGTCAGCACAGAGCCCGACGCGGGGCTCAAACCCACGAACGGTGAGATCATGACCTGAACCAAAGTCAGACACTTAACTGAGCCAACCAGATGCCCCTGCAATAAGCTTTTGTTTAAAATTTTTTAGATTTGAAAGTTTTAATGCTGTAATTATTTTTAAGAGCCCTTTATTTTAGGAACGTATACTAAAATAGTTATGGATGAGAGTGGTAAGCCCTCTAGTTTTTGCATTCCAGTAATCCTGAGTGTCGGTGGAGGAGTCTAGGTGAGGCCAGGTAGCTCCCACGGTTGTTGAAGCCCTTAATGGGCACGCAAGGATTTGTTCTGCTGGCGTCTAATTTTGTATGTGCTTGTGGTTTCAGTAATAATAAAAAACTGTTGGTGTATTTGCATTGTAAAAGTCCTCACTGGTTCTTGAATAGGAGCGTGCTTAGTGAGTGTTTGTCCAGAAAGAGTGTGCTGGCACTCGGGGATTATAACTGCTGAGACGTGGGAGAGGTGACTGCAGTAATTTCGCAACAGTGATGAGTGGGGTTGGAGAAGGAGGGACAGAGGCAAAGGCCCTGCGTTGTTTACTTCACTTAAAGTAAGTCAGAGGCGCTCTAGACGTTTCCTGTTTGATGTTGGGGGAGCACATTAGGTCAAAAGGGCACTAAGTATGATTTGGAGGGCTGCGTTCAATGTTGCCTGTGTATGCAGGGGAGGAAGGTGGGTTTGTGGAGTCCCCGAGGGAGGCCCATGCCCGCAGTGCTAGCAGAGGGCACTGGTGCTGTTGATTCACGGACAGAATTAGGAAACGTGGGTTCTGGTCCAGCTCCGAAGTCAACGAATGTCCCTGGCTTTCAGAATTCTTAGCTTGGATAAATGACAGTTAAAATTGAGGTGGTAATGCCCCACTGTGACTATTTTGCCTCCCTCCACTTTTTTTTTATTAGGGGGTCATTGTTTTAAACCAGTACTTTTGAAAGTGGGCCACCTGCATCAGCGTCTCTTGGGACAGCACCGTGGAGATGTCAGAAATGCCCACCACTGGGCCCCATCCCAGTTCTGCAGAATGATGTCACAGCAGCAGGTGCTTGGGAACCTGCACTTTAACAGATATCCCAGATGATTGGTATCAACAGTGGAGTTTGAAGAGAACAGTTGTAGAATCTTATCATGGTTCTTTTTTTCCTAATTGACTTAGAATACAATCAGTATTTAAATGTCTTTTCTTCTAAGGATCTAAGGGATTTCAGAACTTGAAGAGAGAGAAAGTTGTGATCAGATTCTTACCATAGCACATTGTGGGTAGATTTAAGTTTTTTATTTGTATTAGTAAGTTAGGTTTACAATACATAATTTAGGAAATAAACACAATGAAGAAAACATAACAACCTATAATTCTTTGGCCTTGGAAAAGAAGTGTTAAGCAGGTTTATTCTAGATCCTTCCAGACTTCTTCTAATATGTATACATATAATCATTCACCAAAATAAGTTTATTTTCTCTGAACAATTTAATAACTTATTTTTAAAACTCACTAACACACTGGGGCACCTGGGTGGCTCAGTTGGTTAAACGTTCAACTCTTCAGCTCAGGTCATGATCTCACAGTTTGTGGGCTCAAGCCCCGCATTGGGCTCAGCACTGACAGAGTAGAACCTGCTTGGGATTCTCTGTCTGCTTCTCTCCTTGCCCCTTCCTCACTTGTGCTCTCTCTCAAAATAAAATAAAGCTAAAAAAAAAAAACTTCGTTAATACATTATGCTCATCTTTCTGTGCTAATAAATGTCCACCCACGTTAACATTTTTTAAAATTGTTTTAAGTTTATTTGAGGCAGGGGGGGCAGAGAGAGAAGGGAGAGAGAATCCCAAACAGGCTCCGCACTGTCAGCACAGAGCCTGATGTGGGGCTCGAACCTGCAAACCATGAGATCATGACCTGAGCCGAAACCAAGAGTCAGGTGCTCAACCTACTGAGCCACCCGGGTGCCCCTCTGCACCAACATTTTTAATGGCTGCCTAGAATTCCTTTGTGTCAACATACCACAGCTTATTTCACTGGTTTCTTATTGGCATACTGCGGTATCTGCCTCTTCACTGTTTTACTCATGCAGACAATAAACATCCTTCTGTATCTTTTTGTACCTCCTTAGGATAAAATTTCTAGAAACAAATTGCTAGGCAAAGCATTTTCTTACTCTTTTCTTAAAGTGATTTTGAACAGGGACGCCTGGGTGGCTCCGTCACTTGAGTGTCCGACTTTAGCTCAAGTCACGATCTCATGGTTCTTGAGTTGGAGCCCCACATTGGGCTTTGTGCTGACGGCTCGTAGCCTGGAGCCTGCTTTGAGTTCGGTCTTTCTGTCTCTCTACTCCTCTGCCCACTCATGCTGTGTGTCTCATAAAGAAGTAAGGAAAGAAAGAGAGAGAGAGAGGGAGGGAGGGAGGGAAGAAAGAAAGAGAGAGAGAGAGAAAGAAAGAAAGAAAGAAAGAAAGAAAGAAAGAAAGAAAGAAAGA